CACCCTGCAGAGGAAACCCATCTCGGCCGCTTGTATCCGTGATCTTGTTCTTTCGGTCATGACCCAAAGCTCATGACCATAGATGAGGGTGGGAATGTAGATCGACTGGTAAATCGAGAGCTTCGCTTTTGGACTCAGCTCTCTCTTCACCACGACGGACCGGTACAGCGCCGGCTTCACGGCAGATGCTGCACCAATCCACCTGTCGATCTCCTGCTCCCTTTTTCCCTCATTCGTGAACAAGATCCCGAGATACTTAAACTCCTCCACTTGGGGCAGGACACCCTCCCTGACCCGGAGGAGGCACTCTACCCTTCTCTGGCCTCGGATTTTGAGGCACTGATCCTCATCCCGGCTGCTTCACACTCAGCTGCGAACCACTCCAGTGAGAGCTGCAGATCACTACTTGATGAAGCCAATAGGACCACATCATCCACAAAAAGCAGAGATGCGATCCTAAGGCCACCAAAACGGATCCCCTCAACACCTCGGCTGGTCTAGAAATTCTGTCCATGAAAGTAATGAACAGAATCGCTGACAAAGGACAGCCTTGGCGGAGTCCAACTCTCACCGGAAACGAGCCCGACTTACTGCCGGCAATGCGGACCAGACTCTGACACCGGTCGTACAGGGACCTGACAGCCCGTATCAAAGGGCCCGGTATCCCATACTCCCAGAGAACCCCCCACATGGCCCCCCGAGGGACACGGTCGAACGCCTTCTCCAAGTCCACAAAACACATGTAGACCGGTTGGGCGAACTCCCATGCACCCTCCAGGACCCTGCTGAGTGTGTGGAGCTGGTCCAATGTTCCACGACCAGGACGAAAACCACACTGCTCTTGCTCTTCAGGAAGAGCAGTGTGATGGCTACCTTAATGAGCTAAAAATAAATGCTGTGCTCCCGCTGAGACATGCAGAGCTGGATACTCTTTGAGATGATAACAGGAGCTATACTGCCTGCGGTATTGACATCACTGATCGACCAGGTCCATGGTGGTAATTAAGTCCAGTGTGGCTGTTACCACTGCACTGAACTCTAAGCAGCACAGCTGATGTCGAACCAGACACAGCGCTACAGACGCTGAGAGAAACTTCAAAGACAAGCAGCGCTAATGGGCTATTACTCCTGGAAATGCTAATGGAGCTAGATCACCGGAACTGTAAAACCACAAGTACCAACACCAAACAAAGTTCATACCCTGTTATCTAAATGGACGCAGAGCTACAGAAGTACTTACCAGATCACATAGTCCGATAAGTGACACTTGCCACTTTCCAGAGGTAAGTGTCATTCATTGTTTCATTATGAAGCTGAAGGCAGCAGCTCCTACGGCCAACTCTTGTCCTCTTCTTCTGTTTGCTCCTCCTCATCTTCATCACCTCTTGTTATTTCTACGTTCCGATTGATTTCAATGCGCTCTGGTTCAAATTAAAAAGGCNATCTAAATAAACAAATGTTACATTTGTACATCTGTGGTCTGTGTTTAAATATTAGCATTTATGGGCCCCTGAAGGCCTGGGGCCTTATGGAGGTGCTGACATAATTTGGATTAAACAGAAGTGCAAATAATTGATATTCATTTTAATTGTATTTCTTGATTTGTTGTTTTTAAGACTAGCTGTGGGTTCAGACAGGTTTCACTGGCAATGTTTTCTCGTAACATATAATTACTCAGTAATATTTTTACTTTTCCTGTCTGCTTAACATATTTTAATACAAAAACACAGCAGACCGCCTCGGCGCCCCGATCACCGAGCTTAGCAAGTTTTCTGGGGGAAACCCTGCATTATTATGTGATCAGACCATAGCACGTGCAGCTGTATGTACTGTGCATACCTTGAGATTTTTCTCTAAAAAAAGAAAAGAATAGATTTTAGATTTTTTTTTATTATCTAACCCTCTTTACTAGCAACAAAATTATGGAGGAAAATAAGATCTTTTGCATTAAAAAATCTTGTAGCCCACATCTGTGTGAGTCTGTGGGGGTGGGCACATGTCCATCCTAAGCCTAAATGTTATTGGTCAGTTTACTTGTATTTATTTGGCTGCTTGACTCTTCTTCTGTAAGCTAAAAATGAATGATGAGTTTGAACCCTTCCATAGTTCTAAGAGCGGTCGTTTGGATCTCGCCTGAGCTCTTTACCGTGTGTGCGGTTCTGGCGGGGTTGCCGGTTTATGAGCTTTTTTGAGTTTTCACATACTGAAGAGCTGATGGGTCACGCGTTTGGACAACCATGACATCTACTATGCTCTTCCTGAGCGTCATGTTAAGATTGCAGGAAGGTTAAACAGTTAAATCTAATCAAAAATCTAGCCATCTTAGACACACCATCTGAACCTGGGAATCCCCATCCTTTTCTTCCCATGGATCACAGGGGTAGGCTTTGCTTTCATGTCTTCATTATTCAGCGTAATTTGTAAAAAAATTACTGTCTCAGTGGGTCATGTGCATTACGCAAGAGCACGACTACATCTCCATCGCGCATCGTGTGTCGTACAAAACCCACATAAATACAGGCCACATGTATCAATAGGAATGTATGTGTAATTGAATTGAAACTACCTTTTTTTATGAAGTGCCTTGAGACGACACCTGCTATGATCTGGACTACATTGAATTTCATTTTTGTGTTTTAGCACTTTTAGAAAACATTTTAACTGGATTATGCTGTGAATAAGAACTGGTTCTTGTTTACAACATAGCCTGGTAAAATAAACATTTTTAAACCAGCTTAAAAGAGAACCACACAACTTCAGGATTTGCTCTTTGCCCCAAAGTGTCTGATTAAAACATAATAAGTGACCTGTGTAATGAAGAAGTCCATCCAGGCCAGCAAATTTATGAGTACCAGGCTGAGGACAAACAGGTCATTGACTTCAGGCTGGACCGAACGCAGGAATGTATCCATGGCAGCAAGAGACAGAAACTCCCCAGTGCTTCAGGAAGAAAGAAGAAAAAAAAAGTTTAAAAGAAGTATAATTGTAACATTAAAGAAAGAAACATAGAAAAAGTAGCATGAAAGACAAAAGACAATTTATAGTTGTCTCTAACAAATTATAGTAAATTTTGTCCATGCTCACTGTTACCTGTTACCATAGTGATAGACACCCTCTGGCATCTTAAGTATGTAAGAAGGGCTCTGTGTCACACCAATATCTAAGAGGGTGCTCCGGTTGTCCCAGTGACGTACATCCACAAAAATAAACTCGATTCTGCCAGTGAACTTAACAGACAGTGAGGAGAAGAAGGCAGGAGGTTGGGACAGATGGGTGAACAGAAACATCTTGATTGGATGAGCTGGATCAGAGTGCCACTCCTCAAGTAGTTGTGCAGACTGATGTACAGTTTTGATTCGACGAGCCAGGTGGGAGGTCATCCACCGAAAGATGTGTTCAGTTTCAATGTACTGTCCAACATATTCTTTTAGCATCACTTTACCCTTTGAAGCTGAAGTTTGAGGAGCAGACATGATGACCATTGAGCGTTGCCAACCACGTTTGATACATGACCTAGTGGAAAGAAGACAACCAAGATGTCAAATAAATTTTTACAGAGATCCATTTTACTGACAGTGAATGCGTTTTGGAAATGAACATAATCAGAATCACTTTTATTGCCACTGCCAGTAAACAAGTTCGCAGGTTAGGAAATTGTTTTGATGTAAAAAATAAATAATGAAATAAAATATGAATATGAAAAACAAAAATATGTATGCATGTGCTGAGTAGCAGGTTGATAAAGTGACTGTGTTATGCCAGAATCAAATATCGACTGTTCAACAGTCTAATAGCTAAAGGAAAGAAACTGTTCTAGTGGCAGGAAGTTCTGGTCCGGATGAACTGTAGTCTTCTGCCATAGGGGAGCTTAAACAGGCTGTGTTTAAGGATCAAGTTTTTGAAGCAACAAGTTTAGGAAGAAACAAGCAACAGCATTTTCCTTCAAAGTAAGCAGGCTGACTCCTAAGTGTTACTGTATGCACGTGCAGACAGTGAAGATGAAGTCCATCTGTTGCACAGCTGCTTTGTGTTTTCTTTGTATCTAGCCTTGCTTTAAATCTGACTGTGCCACCTCTTGTGCCATAACCCTAAATTTTAAAAAATTATTTTGTGTCGGCTGTACTGAATACTTACCGAATAAACAAGAAAAATGTTATTGAACTTAAATATTTATAACATATAAGTATATAATAGTAATCTATTAGGTTGCTGAATACAAAAAGGTACAAAGAATTAAAATGTAAAACTCCTTCCTCCATGTTCCCTCGTGAACAAAGAAATATAAAACTATAAAGACACTATAACATTTAGGTTAAAGATTTTAGGCTCTGCTGTCAGGGCAGTCTACAATCAGTGTTGAGAGTGATTGTAGATGCACTAACTTCGTGCTGTTAGTCATGCTTTCAGTTCAGCTCTCTTCTTGTTGTAGTGCCCCTCTATACGGGCAGCTGGTTGTTTCAAAGGACTTGGCTCCAGGAAATGCATTCATTTGTGAAAACCCTCACCATCCACATTGCTTATTGGTACCTTGTCTTTTTCAATCATGTTACAAGTTTTTTGCATAATGCCCTCTGCTTTCCAGGAATTACACTCACCTGTATAGCTTAGTAGTAATTTCTGTTAGCCCTGCTCTGATAAGCAGCAAAGATAAATCACCAGTATTAAGGTGAAATTTAAGGACATTGTTAAGTATTTATATTTCAAAACAGAACTGCATAAAGTGCATTTTGCATTGCATACTGGACTCTGGACCCTATTCTGGTATGCCTCCATTAAGATTATTTGTCTTATCAACTGGCTCTGCTTAAGGATGGCCAGTGACGCCCTCTTCTGGATGGCAGCTGTATTACAATGCTACATCCATCTGTACATACAAGCTGTGAGATGTTATACATATGTACAGACATATACCTACATACATATTTACACACATACATAGTATACAGAAACAGTGTGGTGAGTTCAACCTCTCTACACTCTTAGAAATGGCTGTAAATTTACAGTGAAATTCCAGCAGTAACATACTGTTATTCCAAAATACAGTAGGATATTGTCAATTTGATGTCTTCTTCTGTTGTCACAATCAAGACTGACGACTGGCAGTAAACTACCATAAAATAATTGTACAATACAGTTTTTTTCCCAAGGCAAGACATTTTACTTGTATTTGCATCTTAGAGAACCAGCATTTAAAGACAATATTAAATGGAAAGAAAAAAATACTTTCCATAATAATTCTTTCAGGGAATGAATCGAAATCTATAGAGCATAATCAAAAGTGTTAGATTACCAGTGTTGGTGTTGTATGTTAAAAATACAATGTTAATTAAACACTTGTTTAGTCAAATTCAAAGATGGGTTTGTCAGTTTCTCTAAAGAGATGGTGTTTGATAAAGAGTTGCTCCCACAATCGCAACGTATCTGTGACGTCACGTGTTTGATGGGAGACAGCAGTGTGGCGTCTTGTCTGGATCTTATCATAATGAGGTAAGTTCCCCAAAGCTATTAAAACATGCTCTTTTTGTTCTTTCTTTAATGTATTTATGTAATGTAATGGTGATGCGTTGTCTCAATGTTTGTAACTCCCTGGCGGACATTATACTACAATGTATGCTGCGTTTATACTGTTATGTATTCTGTATCTCAATAAAGATCTATTAAAAAAAACAAAACAAGATAAGTTCCATGTTAAGATCATCATGTTTTTGATTTTGATTATTTTTTTATGATTTATAACTTTCTGTTTGCGCAAGAGTATCAACTTATGCTTGACATAAGTTTATTTGTTTGAATATCGCGGTACGACTGTTCAGTACAGGGGAGCTCAAGTCCAGTCCTTGAGAGCTGCTATCCTGCAACTTTCAGATGCTTCCCTGCTCCAATTAACACACCTGAATTAAATGAATGGCTGGTTAGCAGGTCTGTTCAGAGCTGATCCTGGTCTGTTGGAGGAAAGATGCATCGAAAAGTTGCATGGCCTCTCGAGGACTTGACGTGAGCACCCTTGGTTTATTATTTTTGTTAGCAGCTAAAGCTAGCCAAGCAGGTGTAGCACGGGGTGTCGGTGGTTAAACTGACATAACTGACACAATGACATATTGACTGCCTCTTTTTTTTTCTTTAGTACGTCATGTTGGTGACTGAAGCCTGTTATGATGACTTCAACACATTTCTGCTGACAGGTTGGCAGAAGAAATGCTGTCCAGAATGTTTCTATACGCTGACTAATTTCTATAATGCCTAATGTCTGAGTTGTGTTCATGGTAATTATTTCTGACATTTTTATGCTTTATGTTGTAGGTGGTGAAAAATGCTCTCCAGGGTAAACCGGGTGGACAAAGTATTTTGAATGACTGTGATGGTGACAGACACACAGGTGGGTCTGGTTAGTTTTGCTCACACTTCTCTTTAAAATGTTTATTTATTATCCTAATGTGTCTGCTATTTATCCTGTGGTTCCTCCAGGCTGGGAAAACCAGGCATTCTTCCGTTGGTTCATGTGCTTCGTCCTACATCTAAAGGCCACAAGAAGAATTAAAAACAGCTCATGTCAAACTGTGGACCATGTTTTCAGATATGTGCAGATATGTGATTATTCTAATGATCCTACTTCTTTGTAGAAGCACTTTCTCATTGGCTTTGTTTGCCATCTGAATATAGCTGTGCTGTTAAATATATTTATTAATAATTTTTATTATTCGTCTTATCATTATGTCAAAGATGCAAGCCAGTGTTGAAGCCTTCCTCATTGGTGTGGAACCAGGATAGCCCTTCCTTCTGCATGTTGGTGAAAACAAGAGCAACACCAAAGACACTTCACCTTCAGTGATCACAAGATCATCCAAGGTAGCTTTTGATGAACTTTGAAAGCACACTTCACCTTCAGCGCAAAGTACCATGAATTCCTCTACAACTTCTGTAAATTAATCCAGCCTACAGTTTTCAACATTGATGTGACTTCCACAACAATCGAGGAGTTTAAGATCCTTGCTTTTACTTTACCGGGCAGAGTGGACACTCTTTATTGTGATGATCATTTAAATGCATACTGTATCAATAAGAGGATTTGTTTTATGTTCTTCCAATTAAGGACTTGGTTTATTACAGTCCCTGTGGCAAGCAGTTTTCTGCATGGTCAGCATTGAAGGCCATATTGTCTTTGAGAGGGTCCAGCCAACATTCCAGACAGGACAGTGTTGTCCATCTTCTACATCTTCAACCTCCAATATCAACATGAGGCAGCCAAGACTTTGGTTCATTCAACGGTAAAACCATTCCTATAATTTTTTTTACAATGACATGGTTTTAAAGCAAGTTATGATTAACATTTGACAAAGGTGGTGATTTCTCTTTACGTAATTAAAAACAGCTTTATTTATATATTGTACCAGCTGTATTCAGAATGCCACACTATTTATTTTCTCTCAGGAATTTTCCCATTTTTTGATTTTGTTTTTTAGTCGCTTCATTGGGATTAACCCAGAAAGGGGCACAAAACCCGGTCATGGGAAGATGGTATCCAAAAAGACAGGAAAGATCATGCAAAAGAAAAAGCAGACCGTGAATGTGCAGGTTTCCACCCTCATCAACAACCTGATGGACTTTGAGTGGGATCGCATTCAGGTTAGGTATTACTATTCTATTGACTGTACTTTAAAAAGTAGCATTAGAGTTTTATTTGCAGCAGCTTACTCAGTGAATACAATTGTAAAACTACATTTACAGTAAAAATACTGGAACCTACAGATGCCAGTATTTGAAAGTATATTTAATTTCGGCACTGTATTTTACGGTGGCCGACAGGTACAAACACCCGGCAAACACGAGAAAAACAAATGCAACAAAGAAGAAATGCAAAGAGCTGGCTGTTAATACAGCGGGAGCAGACATCTCCGAAAAGGTTGGGGCAATATTACACTTAGGTGATGCACTGATGAACCGAGCAGAAATGTGAGATTTATACATCTACATTCTCGCCTACAAACATTGTTTAAATCATGTGTCACGGCTGCTAAGCAACATAACGCCGAGGTGGAGACTAGGCAGCTAGCTGAAGGCTACAGCTTCTCTGCAATGCTCTCTGCCTTCGCAGGACCCCTCTTCCGTAGACCGGGTCGTTTCTCAAGCCCATGAAAGAATAAGCTTGAAAGGATGCAGACCCTGAACTCGAACACAAAGCTCTAGTGGTCTGGAACACTTATTTTTTATATTTTTTGCATCTCTTTTTTGTTTGCGTCTTTTCTTTGTTGTATTTGTTTTTCTCGTGTTTGCACCTGTCGACCACCGTAGTATTTTAACGATTCTGTATTTTAGTTCTGCTGGGGTCCATATGGTTATGTGTATTTGTTCTAAGTTTGCATTGTGATCACTGTTATGTGTAGAGTGTTATGGGCTTCCCCTGTCTGACTGCTGACTCCCCCTCACATGTGATGGACCTGTCATGTGGGCGAGGGATCAGGGGAGCAGGAGGACCAGGACCGATGCTGATCTGACAGAACACCGGAAGAGCGGAGAGTTCAGTGTGTTAGCAGTGAAGCTATTCAGTTGAGTGTAACGGTTTGTTAGAGCCTAATAAACCCTGTTGGCGGTACTACGTCTGCGGTGTGTTGGCGTCATTACAGTATTTACTTGCAGTACACCACCACTTTAAAAGATAATTACAGGATTAAAAAGGTATATGTGACAGCTACAGACACCAGCTTATTTTTTTTCTACAGTATTTTGGAAAGAACGGTAAAAGAACTGGCGTCTGTAGCTACCAGTATTTTTTTTTATCATTCTTTCAGAAAACGGCAGATTACCATTCTTTCGAAAGAACGGTAAACTACTGGCAGCTACAGATGCCAGTATTTTACCGTTCTTTCACAGTATCCATACTGTACTTGCATTGACGGTAATCTACTGTCTGGATTAAATACGGTACAGCTACTGTGCATTTACAGTAAACTTCTGGCGTCTATAGCTGCCAGTATTTGACTGTAAATTTACAGGATTATTTCTTAGAGTGTA